TGCAGTCCCTGCTCAGCGGCGGCGCAGAGCTCGTCGGGGCCCGCAGCGCTGCCCTACGGCTATTTCGGCAGCGGCTACTACCCATGCGCTCGCATGGGCCCGCACCCCAACGCTATCAAGTCGTGCGCGCAGCCCGCCTCGGCCGCCGCCGCCGCCTTCGCGGACAAGTACATGGACACCGCCGGCCCCGCAGCAGAGGAGTTCAGCTCCCGCGCTAAGGAGTTCGCCTTCTACCACCAGGGCTACGCGCCCGGGCCTTACCACCACCATCAGCCCGTGCCTGGCTACCTGGATATGCCGGTGGTGCCGGGCCTCGGGGGCCCCGGCGAGTCGCGCCACGAGCCCCTGGGTCTTCCCATGGAAAGCTACCAGCCCTGGGCGCTGCCCAATGGTTGGAACGGCCAAATGTACTGCCCCAAAGAGCAGGCGCAGCCTCCCCACCTCTGGAAGTCCACTCTGCCCGGTAAATGGCGCCCTCTTCTCAGCCCCGGTCCTCCGGTTCTGCTCCAGCTTCTCCTCCGCTCGCTCCCGGGTCACCTTCGTGCCCCTCTGCTCTCTCCCTGGCCTGTCCTAGTGGTGCTGCACCCCTGGTAGCCCGATCCCGGGTGGCTGGCGCTGCCCGCACTGCCCTTGAGTTGGGCTGGTTCCTGGCTGTCCCTGGGTGAGGGATGGCTGGGAAGAAGCTTGTGGGGACCCCGCTAGCTTCCTTCTCTCTCTGCACTCCGCCCTCCCCAGGCCTTGACATCGACTTAAGGATGGGAAACTGACCTGGAAATCGTTTACCAAATTGCCTGTATTCGTTCACTCAAAAAATGCCTTCATTGTAGAAGCTTCAAGTGTTGGTGCTTTGGGAATATAGAGAGGAACCGGGCATAGAAGTGTCCCCTGAGCCTGGTGCTAAGATTTGGGCCGTTGAGCCAGGATATCAAGCGAATCCCGCTGCTGTGAGGGGCAGAATAGCCTGGGCTAGGGTGGCCATTGGAGCCCTGGGCGATTTCATTTCAGTGCAGAGCCAACCACCCTCCCTGCTGGCCCTCTAGGTCTTGGCGGAAAGACTAGATTGTACAGCGCGTGGCAAAGGGCATCGGGCACTGCAAGGCAGTGGCTCTGATAAAGCTGTCGCCTGTGTCCTGGCCTGGATCTTATCCCTCTGTAACTTGTCTTCTTCCCTATCTTCCAGACGTGGTCTCTCATCCCTCAGACGCCAGCTCCTACAGGCGAGGGAGAAAGAAGCGCGTCCCTTACACCAAGGTGCAATTAAAAGAACTTGAACGGGAATACGCTACAAACAAATTCATTACCAAGGACAAACGGAGACGGATATCAGCCACTACGAATCTCTCCGAGCGGCAGGTTACAATCTGGTTCCAGAACAGGAGGGTCAAAGAGAAAAAAGTTATCAACAAACTGAAGACCACTAGTTAATGGATTAAAAGTGGAGTTAGAGGGCAACTTGAAGAAATGCTTCAGAACTCGTTGCTTTGCCCACATAATGATTATAATGCTAATAATAATTGAAGAACGGGAAAGAGAAAGAGAGAGCACTGGCGTTTTGCTTTCCTAAGGGGGATCTTTCTCCTTGTGGAATCTACAACTGTTTAAAAACTTTACTCTGAGATATGGTTAAAAAAACCCAAAAAACCTGCCAGTTCTCCCGCCAACCCCACCAGACGTTTAAATGACAAACTCTAGAGTAAATCGTCAACCCCCATATACGCCAATTTCAGATAAGTTACGCATGTACTGAAATCTTGTAAGTATTTATGTGACCGTTATATTTTAGGACACTATGTTATATGATAATAATCCGAAACTTGGTTACAAATCCAAGAGGCTGTTGTAAACATCTGCTTGTCCTTGGGTCACCATTCCCTTTGCATGTTAAGTGACTGCTCAGGTAAATCTTAGTGAAATTCCTACCGTTGTTGTATATTCTGCAGAACATGTCATGTATAGATTTAGAAAGGAAAAGAGAAGAAGGTACTGAAATAATGATATTGGACTATTTACTATGAAGGGAGAAAGGGAGAGAAAGCTCTTCGGAGGATCATTTGTCTTGGTAAATACCACCAGCTGAGTGAGACTTTGAGGCTTCAGGGGAAACGTTTCCAAACCTCCAGGTTGGAAACGTCCTTCTGATAATAATTTCTATTTGCTTATAACAAGCATTTTTGTGGCATTTGGACAATATTTTCTGCCCCAGTATAATTTAATTTCCAAAAGATTTAATAGCTTTTAAAAATATTTAAAGCATCAGATAATTAACAGAATTCACTTTATGTCAGATCTCCTGAGAGGTCCCACCGAACATGGTGGACTTTGGCTTGAACACAGTTTTTCATTTAAATTGGTATTTCCCAATATTTACTTAACATCTTGCTGGAGAAATAATTTTCCTTTTTTATTTTTTAGAAAACTCAGAATGCAAATCCATTCCCTGAAACATATAGATGTTTACATTCTATATTTTCATCTATTACGAGATTAGTATTTTTCCTTGTTTATTGTGTTATGAGACTGCATTAGAAAGTTTAGGGATTCATCGTCACAGCACATCTTTAATCAAGCAGTTAACTTCAACCAGCACATTTTGTTGATATTCACTATAAAATGCTATCTTGTAAATAAAGACATTCAGCACACTGTGAAAATGTATTTGTGCACCTGCTTTTCAAATATTTCTACTAAAAATAATAATAAAAACCCTTAGACCTGTAGATAGTGATATAGTGGTATTAATTATGTTAATAAAATAGTCACTGCCTTTAAAATCTGAAGGAAATACTCGTTATTTTCCCATGCTAAATGTGCACTGCACAGAAAGAAAAGAAGCAGGTTTTTCCTATACAAACCAAGGACCATTCTTTTCTATTATTATTCAGCTTTTTTCTTTTTTCGCTACAAATTTTTTAAGCAAAGGGAGAAATCCCTCATAACTAAAATCCTAAAAATTTAGATAAGTGCTTCAAAAAGGTTAAAGCGTCAGGTATTCTGACAGGGAGAGAAAAGGAAGGAGGAAGAGATAGTATAAATTCCCAGGCTCCCTGTGGAAAATGAAAACCAGTTGTTCAGTATCAGCGATGCCCAGGCTGTCGTATTTTAAAATCTGCTGTTGGGTCTGCATGTGTCTGAGAGGGCAGGTATTGATATTTGTTGAAATGACAGGACTAGGAAAGGCCTTAAACCTTGACCTTGATGAAAAAAGACAATTTGTGACCTTGACTTTTGACAGCTCATGAATTGGCCTCGACTGGATTAGTAGATCAAGGGCGCCACCTCGCGTTGACAAGCTTCCTTGTAATTCTTCAGATTCAAGGGAATCAAAAGGTCTTACCTCCTTAACTCCTTGTTTTAGAGATTAAGTACTCATTTGTCTCCAGATGGAGCAAATTTGAATATATGTAAGTTATACACGTGCCTGTATATATGTGAATATATATCATATGTGTGTATACATGTATACATTTGCATATCAGTGCTTGTGTGTGCTTGTATATATATTTGTAGAATCTGTACAGATAGAGTATCATTAATTACTGATGACCCAAGATGTTGTAATTTAAGGTGATTCCGAGAGTTAAGGTACAACATGTATCTTACATGATGAAGTTTTGCTCCTTTGCTTTAAAGGCCAAGATTGATTTGTATTCTTAGTGGCTTGCTCTGCATCAGACTCCTGCAAATCTACTTTAAAGCTGTACATTTGTGTTACAGTCTAAGAGGTGTTCTTAAATAACCATTCTTGCTTGGCCCTCACCCTCCAAGGTGGTCTACCATCCTAATTAGAGCTATAGAGGAATCTGTACGGCAAATAAAAAGTGTCAGATGCCTTGCTAACTCTAGAGATCTAGAGTTACATTTTAGAAATTCAAAGAAACTTACCTCTTAAGAGGTCAGTATGGAAAGCTTAAAGACCTCCTATCTGCAAAATGACCATAATATGGATGCAGAAGGAGAGTTATCCTGGATAGCTCAGAGTCGAGTGCTGCGCCTGGGTGGTGTGCAATCTTATACTGATGCTTTCTAAGCTGCCTTTTGATTTACAGAAGAAATACACACATTCAATATTAACAACCACCATCAAAACTATAATAGTAATAACTATCATATTTACTACTTATTGACCCCTAATGACACATCAGGTGCTCTGTTTAGAGTCATAACTAATACATATGTATGTTTATATATTTAATATACACATAAGGTGATGTGTTTTTGTCAAAAACATGCTATGCACATATGTATTGAAATGTTGGTGGAACCAGGAGCCTTACGATGCAGAATTTTGAAATGAACTAATTTTATCTTTGTTAGAGGAAAGTAATTGTGGACCGAATAACCATATTTATCATTTTTTGGAAAATAATATTGGTTGGTTACAAACCTGGCTGATGGAAACCTCTACACGCTGGAGAGTTATAGACAGAATTTCTAAAGCTGTCTCAAAAACAGCATGATCTTGAAACATACACATGGAATGGTCTTGTGAAGTGCAATCAATTTTGCTGCCCTGAGGATTTTCACTCCACTTGTGGAAACAAATGAAAATGATGCTTCCCAACCTCCCCACATCTTGTTCCACAGCACTCAGTTTCTAAATGAGCTGCCATCAAGCCAAAGTAACAACTTTCTCCCAAAATGTTTAAAGTGGTGGAAAATCCCCTCAAAGCTGGATCAAACTGTGTGTTTACGAACAGCTCCAAAGGGGACTCTTCTGTTGACGGGGGATATTTTTCTTTAGATGTAAGAAATATTCTGAGCCTCAGGCCTAGGAAGGAGGCCAACAGCAGCTCTGCAGCCGGAATACCACCCCTTTCACAAGCCATCGCCACTGCAGGAACTCTGGGTAAAGTAGTGGTTTTCTTTCTTTTTTTTTTTTTCTCCCTCCTGTTTTTGAAACTAATGACAAGATATTTCAGAGGTTTTACCCCTGTTCTAAAATGGTTGTTGATAATGTCAATCTTATTTCTCACTTAAAATTCCCATGGATCTACCAGATAACCTGAAGTGAAGCATGGCTTATGATGGCTTGCAAACACCCAAATAGCAATTAGTCTAAAGCTTTAGAAAAGAAATACATCCAGGAGGACATCAGCTATCATATAGGAATAATAATGCCAGACAGAGGGATAGTGTTGTTGAATAGCTGATTCAAGTATTTTTTTTTTCTAAAAGGGACATACTTTCAGAATAAGAATTTGTTATATGGAAACAACTAGACACCGTTTTCTACTGTAAAATTAGCAATGATTTTTTTAATCCTGTAATGGCCTGTCATGTTACTATTTTTTAAAAACTGTAAATATGGGACTTAAAAAAAACCCCACATTTCCCATCTGCTCTTAATACTGTCAAATTTATTAAGGTATTTTAAGTGGATGATTGTAAAATGCCACTTTGCATTTCACTACTATTTATGCCTGATGGAACTGAAGCCATCCATTTAAATTTTTTTTGAATACGGAAATAGTAAAATTTTTAAAGAGAGAAAGGGAGGAGAAAATTATTCTCTTTAACAGTTCAACCTAATTGAGATATTTTCTTAAAAATTCACGAGGCAGCGAAATTCAGCTGAGGATGATACATGTGTGTGCGGGTAACACATTTCACCATATAATATATGTACAGATTATTCCCTGCTGAGGGTTAGTAGAGTTTGGTGAAGATGCAGCGTCTCGCTTCCTTTCTGCGAATTTCCGAGTTTCTTTTGGAGTTGAGATGGAGCCTGTCCGGGACTGTTAAGCCCCAGACCCGGTGGGTTCAGAGGCGCCCTTCCGGATTTGCGAACTTCTATGGGGGAGACGCTAGGGGCTTGCTGATTTATGCGCATTCCTTTAAAGTTGATCGAATGCGTGTCAGTATCCCAAGACCTGGAGAATCAGAGAAATGTGCAGCGAGTTGCTCACATCCCATTTTTCATAAGCAAGGATGTAACGTTATCGAAGAGGCCTGGGTAGATTTATGCCTCGGTTTTAGGTCACGCACACAATAATTAAGTTTTCATCCGCCAAGCCGCCGGGTAAATAACAGCCGGCTTGATTCTTCACGAAAATACCCACTTTCTGATCAGCTGCTCCAATCCTAGCGCCTCTACCCAGTGCCGACGAATGCCTGAAAGGTGTTTGCTATTTTTAATTTGATTTTCAAGGGAAGAAAAAAGACGCTGACACAGAAAAATTCCTCCGTGGAAGCAGCCAAGGCTTTGCCACAGTTGATTTCATTTCTGCCTGGCCTGGTCTCACTGCCCAAGAGCTGGATCCACCGGGCAGCAATCATTACCACGGCTCCTTGGAGATGTGCAAACCTTCGCGTGCAGTAGCGCGGCGGCGCGAGGCCTCTCCCAGGTGCAGGGACGTGGAGGCGCGGTAGAAGCGCTGCTGCGGACCCGGGGAGCCTCCCGATGTCGCGCCCCTCGAGGGCCGAGGAGGCTCAAAATCCTCCGCGCTTCGGAGTGAACCCTCTCCTCAAAATGCAGGCTCAAACCCTTAGAGAGCCGGCCTCGCTCGGATGGCTTGTGGGCCGGAGGGGGCGTGCAGCAGGACGTTAGGCCGAGGTCAAGGCCCTGGACCCCCAGGCCCGCTCCAGGCGAACTCCGGCGGGCCGGCCCCTTCGCCGCGCCTCGCCCCGCAGCTGCAGGCTGACGTCACCGCCGCCCGCGGGGGCCTTCGCCGGCCTCTCTAGGCGTTATTTGATGAGGACAAGCCGAGTCAAACGAGTGTTTTGTGCGGGTGCCCCTTCTCCGCCCCGCCCCTCCCTCCCCAAGAGAATAATCGGGTATTTAATCTCTCCCAGTCTTAATTCTTGGCAGCGTGGAAGGTGGTTTGCAACGGGAAATAAAACTTGACAGGAGCATTTTCTCTAAAAGGGGTTCTGAGACGAGCTGAAAAGAAACCGTGTTTTTCTCTACCAAATACTTCCGCTTTCTGAGCCCCGGCCTGACGGGTGGGGTGAGATCCGAGGGAGCGGAGAACGAGCTAGGCACACAGGGCCACGTAGTGGACCCGGGCGGCCAAGTATGGGCGCCCGGTGCAGCCCCGGGTCTCCGCCTGGGCCGGAAAGCAGCCTCGGCCACGCTGCGCCCCGCGCCTCGGCGACGCTCAGCTCGCTTGTAGCCCGGCGCCGCCCGCAGCCCGAGACCGGGACCCGGTGAACGCGAAGTTGGCAGGGGCAGGGGCCCCGGCTGGCACCCAGAGTTGCACACTGGCGCTGGCCGAGGGTGGCTGGGGTTAAGCGAGAGAAGAGGACGGGGTGGGGAGGGGGGGTTAGAACGCTTGGCTTAAGCTCCGAGCCTTTAGGGACAAGAGCTTGTAAAGCCGATGGTGAGACCACTGCTGGAGGCTTTGTTCTGGATGTGGGTCTGCGGACACTGCACAAAATGTAGCGGGGAATGGGGGTGAGCAGGCACAGCATACGTGGGTTGTTCGGGCTGCTATTGGGTGGGAGAGATTGGAGACAGCAGAATCTCCCTCCTGGCAGCTTAGAGAGCGCCATCCCCTTACGCCGCAAAGAAAGGTCAAGTCCTCCGCGCCATGGCCGTCTCCATGGTCAGGGCTGGTCGCTGCGGGAAGGCGCAGGACACATAACTGGCCAGCGGGTTCTGATACCTTGAGGACTTGAGACAGTTTTTCCTTGTTACCAACTCCTTCGCCCCGAGCCGTATTGAAAAGGATTTCCCGCAACCAGGGGTGGCCCAGGCTATGTTCCTTAGAGTGCTGGAAGAGCTGAGCCCGCGGAGGCCTAGCCCAGGTGAGAGGCAAAGGCTGCAAGCTCCGGGAAGCGGAGGCGGCTAGATCCGAGTTCTGGGCCCTGGTAGAAACAAGGGACCTGGCAGGGCCAGCCAGGCATAGAATAGGATAGGGCAGCAAGGAGCCTGCTGGAAGCCTCTCTTGAGGTACCTGAGTCCAGGTCCAATCCCTTCCATGCATGGCAGGCTTTTGGTGAGAACTTTGATGCTCTTCTTCGCCTGCCTAAAATCTGGGCCAAGATGTGAAGTGCATTCTGCCAAAGGTAAAAATCCCTGACTCCTGGGCCCCAAGAACCCTCTCACTGTGCTCTGTAGCGGTAGGAGCACCTTCCCTCTGCCCATACCCTGCTTGCAGCAGGTCACCGCATCAGGCCTGATGGTCCAACCTGCTTAAGCCACATCTACCACTGAGCTTATTGCTCCAGGTGAATAAAAAAGGCCCTGCAAATGATTGTCTTTTTTTCCCCCCACAGAATAGGGAAACGCTGGGTTTTATCCTTATGGTTGCCTGGGTGGAACAGGGTCTTGAGAGGACACTAGCTGGAAGGATTGTCTGTGCACAGATACCATCACAGAACTATAAGGGCATGTTGGGGGAGACTCCTAGGGCATGGTTTGATTGGGCAGGGGCTTGCTCTTCTCAAGTCTGGAATGTGAAATGCTGAGTAAAACAGAGGAAGGAGACTGGGGAACTGCCCTAAGAGGCAGCTGAAGCTTGGTGTACAAGGGCTTCCTGTGAACCACTGATGTGGGGACCAAGACCCTGAGGACCAAAGCTGGCCTTCTGGTTGGGCTGCCCTCTTTTGTCCTCCTTATCATGGACACATTTGGTTGGGGAAACCCGTTTGGGCCGAAGTTGCAGGGAGAATGGAGGTCAGACGCTTTGCCCTTTAGCTTCCCACCCCCATCTGTTCTCACTCAGTAGAGGAAAAAAAAACTTTGATGAGTCCTCAACAATAAAAATTAAAATAGTTCTTCTCAAAGGAGGTAATCCTCTTTCTCCTATCACTTTGGGATTCGCTAAACTAAACAACTAGATTGCTTGGGTGTTTGAGACCCTCAGCTGAGCCATATGCCCCACCCTCAGTGGCCAGGAGAAAGATGTGGACTTCTTCAGATGCTTAGGGACCTTGGAGATTGAACCTATGAGTCAGAGAAGAACCAACCGTAAGGTCAAATTCAAGGCATTACCTGTTCCTATGCTTTAGGGAAGGGTAGAGGAGTTGGTGGGTGGGTCAGGGTGAGAGAAATTAACCCCTGCCTCCACCTCACAGTGATTGAGGGGGTGCATCTCTAAATAATTCGTCAAAGCTTCAGGGCCACCTCTACACAGTGCTTGGAAATGTGGTAAGTTGGCCATGATCTGCCAATAGACCATTTCCTGAGAACAAATACTGGGCGATCTCCTGGGCTTCCCAGACAACCCATCTCCTAGGCTCATCATGGAGGACAGATGTACCCCCAGGACATCTACCAGTTGGAAGGAGAAAGCCCCCAAATGGAGGCCTGGCCTCTAACCCCATGAAGGGCTTGATGGCCATATCTAACCTGGGTCCTCCAGCTGACTCTCACACCTATGTGCAGTATGAGCACCAGGGTCGAAATGGTCTTGTGGGTAGCTTTCTAGAAACAAGTGACATTTAGGGACAGAGGAAGGTAGGGGCTCAGATCAGCAAAAAAAAAAGGCAAAAAAATTGGTGCCCTATGTGATAAGCACAGATAAACAACTATAGTTCTTTGGGGGTGAATTCTGGCTGTCAGGTGAGCCTAACCCCTCCCAGGCTGGCTGCTATCCAGGATTGGCAAGGCCGAGAAAGCAGGAGCTGAGTCCCAAGAAGAGAAGGAGGAAGTATTGGTCAGGAGGTGGGGAGGGAAAAAAAAGAACATGGTAGGGCCTTGGCATGGAGTATTCAGAAAAAGGAGGTAAGAGATCCAGTCCAGACCCCTGGTGGAGGCCTGAATTGGGGAATCGGGAACCTAATAGCCCCTTTTCTCTGTGCTTGCATACTGGGTGCCCTCCAGTGGCACCTCAGCTCTTGCTCTTACTGGGAGAGGTATCAGAAGAGGCAGGAGGCTGCATAAGGGAAGACTCCGCTGAAAAGAGGCAGGACAAGCAGGAGCCGTGCAGGGAGAGGAACTGGCCGGCCAGGGAGGGAATGGAGTAAGTGGGCAGCTTGGTGTTAGCATTCACATTAGGGATTACACACTGAGCAGTCAAAGGTCTGCAAGTGGAGGCGCTGAGGACTCCAGATTCTCACATTCCGGGATAATAAGCCGCTGCCAGAGTCCAAGCTAGCCCCAAGGAGAGCAGAGGGCAGCCTATCAGTGGGGCCAGTTGGGGTTGGGAACCCCAAAGTCTGGAGGCAGTACCTGCCCACAGCTCTATTCTCCCTCAGTGTGAGAGGGTCTTAACTTACATATTAAGTGATGGTCCTTTCGGCTTATGTCCCTCAAATAACTATGCTGCAAATGACTGCAGGACAACCCGGGGGAAAGGCTCACTCTGCCCCGGTGCACTCTGACTACACCAAAGCTATCCAGCCTGGGCACCGCCAGCAGGCATCCTCCAGCTGCTGCCCAGACCCCTGCTCTGCAAGAAGAAGGGAAGGCGGCAGTGCTGGCCAGAAGCACCTGGACACACTTTATTTCGATATCCCGCCTGGGAAGGCATGTGGAGCACAGGGCTCACGAGTCTCCGCCAAGGTGCACTCAGTCCGCCCGCCTAGGAAGGTCCAGGAGGCGCTGCAGAATCCCCAACCCCCAACTTTTAGGGCCAAATCAAATGAAGTTTAGAAAGGCTTGGTCTGCTTTGCTGAGCAAATCGCCTCGTTAGTCGTTTCCGCCTGACAAGGCTGGCTCGGGCGCCAGCCTTCTCCTCTCCGGGTGGCCATCTCCAAAAGCAGCGCAGGGAGCGCGGGCCGGCCTGCGGAGAGCTGCCTAGACCCTGAAGTTTGGAAAAACAAGATGAGATTGAAACGACTCCCTCCCTTCTCCGCAGACACACACGCACCGTCAGTCCGCCGCCACTTCCTGCCTTTGTTTTTCTTCCTCCCAAACATTTTTGGCCTCTTGCATTAGCTGCCGTGGGGCTCTGGGTTGACGATGGAAGGAAATACACATTGAAGACTGTTTTCTGGAGAATGGCCCTGCGCTGTGGAGCTCCTGAGAAAGAACAACTCATGGAAGACCAGTCTTCAGGGCCAATGTCACAGCCTTGCCCGTCCTGGACTCTTCAAAAAATGCAACTCGCACTTGGCCTTCCAGGGCGGCTCTAGCCCCCATCGGGTCTTCCTTTGAGCTGGGTGGGCTCAGCTTGGCTGTTGGGCCTCCTGCAAAGCGGAAGAGTCAATTAGGATCAGAGCAAAGTCAAAACCAAGGACCCACAGCTCTGCCTCCTCTGCCTTTCCAAGATTTGATCTGATCCTTAGAGCTGCTCCCACCCGCAAATAACCCCCCAAAACATTCACACTGCCAGTATATTCCAGGCAAAAGGGGCAGAAGCAGGCAAAGCTGAAAGCAGTGCGCAGCATTGGGGATCTGAGCACCCCCTCCTGTCCCTGCTGAGGAAGTAAAAGCATTCGCCGCTGCAGGCGTTTTCCCTTCTTCTGGCATCAAAAGGCTTTTTCCTCATCTGTCTTCACGGCAGCGCCCCCACTCGCCCCCTTCCAGGCTACAAGTCTCTTCCAGCACCCCGCTTCGGTACAGCCTTCGGAATTGCCCTGCCAGCCGCTCCCAGAGTGCCTTCCTCTGCCCCAGCCTTTCCTCGGGAATTTGCCTTTGTCTGCTCCAGACACCCATGGGATCCAGACTGGCCAGCACCCTCTCAGCTTGGCTCTCAAGGACATGGGAAGCACTGGTTATGCGGCACAGTGCACATCCCCATACCGACCTTTCTCCGGTGACCCCTCTCCCTGGCACCAAGGGGAAAACCTATCTAATTGGGAGAGGGGCTGAGTGCGGCTAGGGTAGGTAGCCTGGTGTCCCCCGCTGGCGGGCCACTGCAGCCGGTCTGCTCAGGAACAAGCTGAAGTTGACTGCCAACACTGCTATAAAACCCCAGGTCTGTCTAGAACTGTTTTCGGTTCTCCTAGACGCCCCCGGGTTCAATTATAGTCTTAAAAGCCCTAATACAAGTGCAAGAATTTGTTTGCCTTCACCCAGGGGCGGGGCAAGCCCTGCGATGGTGGCGCCTTTGTTATGGCAAAGTCACTGAAACCCCTCAAGCGTTCCTTTTGTTCAAGGGTCGGGGTGGCGGGGACTGGGTGGGCTGCTGGGAGGGAGTTTGAGAGAGCCAGCATCAGCCAGGGAATGACTTAAATACTGCTGTTCACAAACCTCTCCTTCTCCCTTTTATATTCTGATTTCAAGAAAGAGAGGCTGTGGAGAAATAAATATTTTGCCTTGTTGGTCACCCCTGGAAATAGAAGTTTTTTCACTGCAGAGCAATCCTGAAACTGTGATTTCCAGCTTTAGGAGGTCTCAAGCTACCCTTCCCAAACAACCTTCCTTCCCACCAGACCTTCTTACACCAATACTGCCCTCTGCACAAGCCACAGTGGACAAATGAGTCAAACTGAAGACGCACAAATAATTTCAAATTCAGCTCTCAGGGATTTAAGGGGCATGAAAATTCTTGCAGCAAATCCTGAATAAAGAGTTCATTAAACCAATGTGTCTGAGTAGTTTGATTTGTGATATGCAACCCTTGTAAAGGAGGGGGTTAGGAGCCACATAAACATTAATACTAATAAATTAGTTTACTCCACTACAGAGTAATTACTCGATATTACTGATATTTACAGCGTGTATTCAAATACAATGGTGGGCCATCATTTGGAAAAAATGCATAATAAGAATATTTCTTTCCCAGTGCAATACATGATTAGATTTGTTATTGAGTCAGTTACAGTCAGCTCAGCAATAAATAAATAAATCGATGTTGACACTTAAATACCAAAGATATTAGAGTTTATACTCTAAATCTCCCCAAGATGTATAAATACCTTCGGCTATTTCCTGGATGGGGAAAGGGAAAAGGTTATCCTTTTTCATATTTCAACTTTCCTTCAGCGATATCCAGGTCCTTCCAAGAGGATAGATGTGGGGAGGCCTCAGAGCTGGGCCCTCCCAGCTCCTGGCCTTGCCTGCCGTCTGTATGCCCTCCTCTTCTCCTTCTCCTAAACATTGTTCATTTAGTCCTGTAGGATGGCAAACATTTTTCACCATATCAGGTCCCCCCCCACCTCTTCCCTAGTAAGCTAAACATACTAGCTGCTGTGGCCTCTGTCTCCATCTTTAGCTCAAATCCAGCATTTTCAAAGCCTTCTTTTCACTCAAGGTGCTGGGAGTTTCGGAAGCATGTCTCTTTCCTTTGGCATTGTGTTCCTTCTTTGGGATAGTAGCAGGAAAGGCACCGAGAATTCTGAGTTTCTGCCCTGCACATCCCTAGCTCTCAAGCTTTGCAAAGGAAAGGAGACGTGTTACCCCTTTCTCAACCACGGCTCCCTAGCCCTCGCCCTCTCCCCACTGCCCCTACTCTCTCCACAGCCCTGGAGCTCCACTGTGGGCCCCCGGAAGGCGCAGCATACCCAGGAGAAGCGCCTCTAAAGCAGCCAAAGCCTCGCCTCAGCTGCATGGTTTTCCGAGTCCTCAGCTCCAGGAGACCGGGCGGGCGGGCGAGCGGACCAGTGCGCAGCGGCTCAGCCCCCGCGCCTCTGGCTCTGAGGAGTCACTCCGAACCCCAGCAGGCAGAGGGGAGGAGGGGATTTCTCCAAGGGCAGGGCGTGGGGTGAGGAGGCTGGCAGGGAGAATGGAGGGGAGGTGGATCCCGGGTAAGACGAAGGCCCTTCCGGGACCTGCGGATCCCTGACAAACCGCGGGGGAAGCCGCCCTGGTTGTTGGCGGTTTAGGGACGGAAGGCACTAAAGCGCTTCGGAAGTGACCATGAATGCGAGCGTGTAATCAAGTCACCGTGCAAATCGAGCAAGCCACGAGGCAGGCACATCCACGGCTGCGAACCCTGGCCCCAAAGGGGGTCCGGCCAGGGTCGGAGGCAGAGGTGATTCCCAGAGCAAGCCCGTGGAGGGAGGGGACAGCGAAGAAGGAGGTGCGAAAGCGAGCCTCCAGGCGAAAAGATTCCAAGACCACGCACTGGTCACGCAGCGACTGTCTCCCACCTAGCCACCCCCAGCCTGTGGCATCCCTCACCCGGGGAGTGGTGGGTGGCAGGAGTTGAGCTCTCTCACCGCCCTCGGCGCACTCGAGGGCCAGGACCGTGCAGCTGAGCACAAGCAATTGGCATGGGGTAGCACCCAGTCTAGCCGCGCGCCGGGAGGCCCCCCCAGCCAACATGAGTTACACCGGCGATTACGTGCTTTCGGTGAGAACACGGAGTGACGATCTGTTGCTTCCCCTGAGGTGGCTACAAAGAAAGGAAGCCGGGGAGGGAGGGAAGAAAAAAAAAAAGGAAAGGGGAAAAAAAGGCCCGGACTAGCTCGCAGCTTGTCAATTTCAACATCGGGTCACATGACCAGCACCTCCCTGCTAAGGATGGGGATAGATTTCCACGTCAGCTTACGTCTCCAAATTTCTACTTCACGGATCCGCTTCAAAGAGGCAGCTGCAGTGGAGAATCATGTTAAGCTCAGCTACTGCGGAGAGCCCAAGGTAGCCCAATGATGGATTTTGATGAGCGTGGTCCCTGCTCCTCTAACATGTATTTGCCAAGTTGTACTTACTACGTCTCGGGTCCAGATTTCTCCAGCCTCCCTTCTTTTCTGCCCCAGACCCCGTCTTCGCGCCCAATGACATACTCCTACTCTTCCAACCTGCCCCAGGTCCAACCCGTGCGCGAAGTGACCTTCAGAGAGTACGCCATTGAGCCCGCCACTAAATGGCACCCCCGCGGCAATCTGGCCCACTGCTACTCCGCGGAGGAGCTCGTGCACAGAGACTGCCTGCAGGCGCCCAGCGCGGCCGGCGTGCCTGGCGACGTGCTGGCCAAGAGTTCGGCCAACGTCTACCACCACCCCACCCCCGCCGTCTCGTCCAATTTCTATAGCACCGTGGGCAGAAACGGCGTCCTGCCACAGGCTTTCGACCAGTTTTTCGAGACGGCCTAC